ATTATACAAATGAACTTACAAAACAGAATCAGAACCACAGACTTAGAAAATTAACTTATAGTTGCCTGGGAGAAGGATGGGAGTAAGGATATTTAGGGAGTTTGGAATGGACATGTACACACTGATCTAACATCTCAAAAAGGAAGAAATATTCTTCAGAAACTCCCATTTTTGTGGTTTCAAGCCTAAATTCTTCATCTGAAAGGAGAAGGGAGATTAAATTGATTGAACAGGACATATAAAATCAGACAGAAACCAAGCTCTATAGCCCACAGTGAGATGTTCTACTCTTCTGATTGCTTGTCTAGAGCTGGGCACATAGTTGGTGTTTAATAAGCAATTGTGAAGAACATCAGGGTCTTATCCTATTAAGCTCCTATTAGTTGAATCTGTATTGGTCATTATTTCCTTCCCCTATTGAGCTCATTCCTAGGTACTTGTCTTGCCACTGAAGCTACACTTCCCTTTAACTCTAATGTTAAATCTTAGCACTTAAGTCTTACATTTACTGTGACATTATACACTTAAGCTTTTCTCAAATTTTATTCTCATTTCCCCAAAACAAACAAATCAACCAAAGTAACCTTATATACAGTGCTGTGATAATGTTCAAATTATATATGTAATTCCTGTGCTCAAAGCACACATGTAACACTCTTAGGCCAACAGATCCAATTATCTACAGTATTTCACTAGTACCCACAAATATATTCTGTTCCAGTAGGATCGGTTCAGTTCAGTTCAGTCGCTCGGTTGTGTCCGACTCTTTGCAACCCCATGGACTGCAGCACGCTAGGCCTCCCTGTTCATCACTAACTCCCAGAGTTTACTCAAACTCATGTCCAATGAGTCGGTGATGTCATCCAACCATCTCATCCTCGGTCGTCCCCTTCTCCTCCAGCCCTCAATCTTTCCCAGCATCAGGGTCTTTTCAAATAAGTCAGCTCTTCACATCAGGTGGCCAAAGTACTGGAGTTTCAGCTTCAGCATCAGTCCTTCCAATTAACATCCAGTCCTTCAGGATGGACTGGTTGGATCTCCTTGCAGTCCAATGAACTCTCAAGAGTCTTCTCCAACACCACAGTTCAAAAGCATCAATTCTTTGGCACTCAGCTTTCTGCACAGTCCAACTCTCACATCCATACACGACCACTGGAAAAACCATGGCCTTGACTAGATGGACCTTTGTTGACAAAGTAATGTCTCTGCTTTTTAATATGTTTTCTAGGTTGGTCATAACTTTCCTTCCAAGGAGTAAGCGTCTTTTAACTTCATGGCTGCAATCACCATTCGCAGTGATTTTTGAAGCCCAGAAAAATAAAGTCAGCCAATGTTTCTACTGTTTTCCCATCTATTTGCCATCAAGTGATGGGACCAGATGCCATGATCTTAGTTTTCTGAATGTTGAGCTTTAAGCCAAATTTTTCACTCTCCTTTTTCATTTTCATCAAGAGGCTTTTTAGTTCCTCTTCACTTTCTTCCATAAGGGTGGTGTCATCTGCATATCTGAGGTTATTGATATTTCTCCCGCAGTCTTGATTCCAGCTTGTGCTTCCTCTGGTCCAGCATTTCTCATGATGTACTCTGCATAGAAATTAAATAAGCAGGGTGATGATATATAGACTTGATGTACTCCTTTTCCTATTTGGAACCAGTCTCTTGTTCCATGTGCAGTTCTAACTGTTGCTTCTTGACCTGCATACAGATTTCTCAAGAGGCAGGTCAGGTGGTCTGGTATTCCCATCTCTTTCAGAATTTTCCACAGTTTATTGTGAGCCACACAGTCAAAGGCTTTCACATAGTCAATAAAGCAGAAATAGATGTTTTTCTGGAATTCTCTTGCTTTTTCAATGATCCAGCAAATGTTGACAATTTGATCTCAGGTTACTCTACGTTTTCTAAAATCAGCTTGAACATCTGGAAGTTCACGGTTCATGTATTGCTGAAACCTGGCTTGGAGAATTTTAAGCATTACTTTACTAACATGTGAGATGACTGCAATTGTGCAGCAGTTGAACATTCTTTGTCATTGCCTTTCTTTGGGATTGGAATGAAAACTGACTTTTTCCAGCCCTGTGGCCACTGCTGAGTTTTCCAAATTTGCTGGCATATTGAGTGAAGCACTTTCACAGCATCATCTTTTAAGATTTTAAATAGCTCAACTGGAATTCCATCACATCCACTAGCTTTGTTCATAGTGATGCTTCCTAAGGCCCACTTGACTTCACATTCCAGGATGTCTGGCTCTAGGTCAGTGATCACACCATCGTGATTATCTGGGTCATGAAGTTTTTTTTGTACAGTTCTTCTGTGTAATCTTGCCACCTCTTCTTAATATCTTCTGCTTCTGTTAGGTCCCTACCACTACTGTCCTTTATTCAGCCCATCTTGCATGAAATATTCCCTTGGTATCTCTAATTTAAAGAGAGCTCTAGCCTTTCCCATTCTATTGTTTTTTTCTATTTCTTTGCACTTATCACTGAGGAAGGCTTTCTTATCTCTCCTTGCTAGTCTTTGGAACTCTGCATTCAAATGGGTATATCTTTCCTTTTCTCCTTTGCTTTTGGCTTCTCTTCTTTTCACAGCTATTTGTAAGGCCTTCTCAGACAGCCATTTTGCTTTTTTGCATTTCTTTTTCTTGGGGATGGTCTTGATCCCTGGCTCTGTACAATATTATGAACTTCTGTCCATAGTTCATCAGGCACTCTATCAGCTCTAGTCCCTTAAGTCTATTTGTCACTTCCACTGTGTAATCATAAGGGATTTGATTTAGGTCATACCTGTATGGTCTAGTGGTTTTCCAGTGACAAAATGTGGCCCACTGGAGAAGGGAATGGCAAACCACTTCAGTATTCTTGCCTTTAGAACCCCATGAACAGTATGAAAAGGCAAAAAGATAGGACACTGAAAGAGGAACTCCCCAGATCAGTAGGTGCCCAATGTGCTACTGGAGATAAGTGGAGAAATAACTCCAGAAATAATGAAGGGACAGAGCCAAAGCAAAAACAACACCCACCTGTGGATATGGCTGGTGATAGAAGCAAGGTCTAATGCTGTAAAGAGCAGTATTGCATAGGAACCTGGAATGTTAGGTCCATGAGTCAAGGCAAATTGGAAGTGGTCAAACAGGAGATGGCAAGAGTGAACGTCGACATTCTAGGAATCAGCGAACTTAAATGGACTGAAATGGGTGAATTTAACTCAGGTGACCATTATATCTACTACTGTGGGCAGGAATCCCTTAGAAGAAATGGAGTAGTCATCATAGTCAACAGAAGAGTCTGAAATGCAGTACTCGGATGCAGTCTCAAAAATGACAGAATGATTTCTGTTCATTTCCAAGGCAACCCATTCAACATCATGGTAATCCAAGTCTATGCCCTGACCAGTAATGCTGAAGAAGCTGATGTTGAATGGTTCTATGAAGACCTACAAGACCTTTTAGAACTGACACCCAAAAAAGATGCCCTTTTCGTCATAGGGGACTGGGATGCAAAAGTAGGAAGTCAAGAAATACCTGGAGTAACAGGCAAATTTGTCCTTGGAGTACAGAATGAAGCAGGGCAAAGACTACAGAGTTTTGCCAAGAGAACACAATGATCTTAGCAAACACCCTCTTCCAATAGCACAAGAGAGGACTCTACACATGGACATCACCAGATTGCCAACACTGAAATCAGATTGACTATATTCTTTGCAGCCAAAGACGGAGAAACTCTATACAGTCAACAAAAACAAGACCAGGAGCTGACAGTGGCTCAGATCATGAAATCCTTATTGTGAAATTCAGACTTAAATTGAAGAAAGTGGGGAAAACCACTAGACCATTCAGGTATGACCTCAATCAAACCCAGTAGGACCAGAATGCTAATCATTCTGTACAAAGTCATGTTTATTGCTAGTTTTTGTATATATACATGCCCCTCTGCTTGTTATGCTTTTTTTTGGCTTGCCTACTTATTGAAAATGTATGTGTGTGAGGATATGTATCTGGGAGAAACTAGTGTAACATGCTCTGAAATAATACTTTTTTCCAACCTCTTCATACTACCTTCAAAGGTCTTTTTTCCCCCCATGAATTCCTAATGCAGTCACAGTAACACTGATTTTGACAGTTTCATATTCTTGAAGATATTTATTCTGAGCTGCTCAGATGTGCAATGAATGCTCTCTAGAACTCCTTCACAGCTGTAGCCATGGAATCTACCACCTCCTTCATCCTATGGATTTCCTCACTTTTATTTTTTGCTGGATTCTGCTATTTTGATTTCATGTTTCTTTCTCTAGTAGTCTCCTAATAAAAGTATGAATAGGAGAGCAATTACTTTGAGACCACGCACGTCTGAAAATGTTGGTATTCTATACCAAAATGTAATTAATAATTTTGTAGTATAAAAGTTCCCAGTTGGAAACAATTTTTCCACAAATTTTTGATTGTATTGCTCTTTTATCTTCTAGGTTCCATGATTGCTCTTCAAGTCCAAAGCCAATTTGGTTACAGGTCTCTCATTCATGTTCTTTTCAAACCCACATCTCACTGTGTCTCCTGCATTGGCAGGCAGGTTCTTTACCACTGACGCCACCAGGGAAGCCCCCAGATTATGGTATCCCTTGGTAAATGCTCCCTAGATGCTTGGATAGAATGTTTATTCTCCTACTTGGGGATGGAGTGCTTAATAATTGCTGATTAGATATTATTGTTTGAGGTGCTTCAAATCCACAAGAATAGGGAAGATGCCTGGGGCTGCTTTGGGTGATCAGCTCTTGTTGTTCCTGGCTTAATTCCAGTATATATCCCTCGGTTCCCCCTTTCCTCCTGAGAGCTCTTAACTACACCAATCTACCTCACGTCAACATGGCCGCCCACAGGCCTGAGTGACTACATGGGCGCCGCCATATTGCATCAAATTTAAATCATTTAGCGAGGGGCAGAGTTCAGCAGAGCGCCATGTTGAATACTGGCAAGTTTTCGCAGAGAAGCGACTGTTGAGCATGGGCATATGGAGGCGGAGCCTAAGAAATTCCACAAGGGCAGGGAGGGAATCCAGAAAAAGGAAGTAGGTGGAGTTGTATTTCCTATGACTGTGCGTACGTGTGTGTGTGTGTGTGTGTGTGTGCGCGCGCGCGTGTGCGTGTGTGTGTGCGCGCCCGCAGGGGCGCGCGCGCGCTCAGTAGCTCGGTTGTGTCCGATTCTTGGCGATCCCATGGATTGTAGCCCTCCAGGCTCCTCTGTCCATGGAATTTTCCGCAAGAATACTGGAGCGGGTTGCCATTTCCTTCTCTTGGGGATCTTTGCCACCCAAGGATCCAGCCAATGCTTCTTGCACCTACTGCATTGGCAGGCAGATTCTTTACCCCTGCGCCACCTGAGTGACCACTGTCTTGAAAGCTCATGGGTGAGGGTCTGGTGAGTGCAGGGAGCATTGGGGTGGGAGTTGAGTGAGGAGGTGTCGCTGATGTCTGTGATGAACAATGGGGCAGAGATGGAGGCGGTCAGTGGATGGAATAATAGGGGTCGGTGTGGTCTTGATGGTGGCTTCCGGCGGGATTGGTGGGATCTGTAATGGTGGATCCCTGGAGACATGGGGTGGGAGTGACAGTGGATGGTGGAACTCCAGGTGGAGTGATGGGATCTGTGGGATCTTTGTTGTTGGATCGGTGGGCAGATTCCTGGATTCTGTAGGGGGAGGGTAACTGTGGGGCCTGAGAAATGAAGGATCTTAAGGGGAGAGATGGTAGATGGTCATAAATATCCTCTCTCTTTTCTGCTTACTAGGTTGTTTCTATTTCTGATTTTTAAAAAATTACTGATGGAAATAATCAATAATCATAATAGGAGTAGAAAAGAGTTTTGTTAGTATTATTTGAACCAAACTGAGGACTGTAGCCCAGGAGACAACTAGGAGGCTCTGTGGAATTGCTGAGTTGAAGTATGGTTTTCAGCATAGCCTTATAAACTTATCAGATCATATATCAAACACGACAGGGATACATTCCTTCAGCATTTTAAAGCAGCCAAATTTAATACATATACAGGGAGACTGCAGGACCATGATTCCTGTTAAGGGGATGCTATAAGAAGGGAGTTACTTATTCTTATCTTCCAAACACATTAATGGTTAAAGCAGATGTGCTGTGTGTGTTCACACAAAGTTCAGTCTGAACCATGTGTAAGCCAAAACGACTTCTTCATGCCTCAATATGTGAAAGTTTTCTTCATCATGGTACACTTTGCTGGAGATTTAAAAATATATTGTCATGTGCTTTGATTCACGGTTAGGAGCTACATTGTAATTCCTAGTTATTTATGTATCATTTTTCTTCCTTTTTTTTATTTTCAGGAATCTCAAGATTTATTTTATTGGTCATTTTGAAGTATTCATTATGTTTATACTCTCTATTTTTATATTAATTTTATCTTTTTTAAAGATGTTTTCTCCCCGCTCCCCCATTTCCCCGCATTTTATGTAATTATCATTCTTTTCCTTATTTTCCTAATTTTATACTGGATATATTCAAGGGTATGATATTTCTTTTTTTTTGATATTTCTTTTATATACATCTTTATTTTTGAAATGTATAATTTCAGTTTGATGTTCCACTTTGATCCTGAGTTGAGTTTCTTTATTCCTGAGTTATTGATTTGTTTATTTTTAATTTTATTGTATTTTCATAGACTGTAGACTGCAAAGTCTCAGTTTTTAACAATTTATCAAGCTTTTTATTTTTCTAAAATTTTTTTTAATTGAAGGATAATTGCTTTATAGAATTTTGTTGTTTTCTGTCACACCTCAACATGAATCAGCTATAGGTATACATATATCCCGTCCCTTTTGAACCTCCCTCCCATCTCCCTCCCCATCCCACCACTCTAGGTTGATACAGAGCCCCGTTTGAGTTTGCTGAGCCATATAGCAAATTCCTGTTGGCGCTCTATTTTACACATGGTAATATAAGTTTCCATGTTACTCTTTGCATACATCTCATCTTCTCCTCCCCTCTCCCCATGTCTATAAGTTTATTCTCTATGTCTGTTTCTCCATTGCTACCCTGTAAATAAATTCTTCGAAACCATTTTTCTAGGTTCCATATATGTGTGTTAGAATATGATATTTCTCTTTCTCTTTGTGACTTGAAGGCTAGCTACACAAGCTGCAGTGAACTTTATTCAGTGGATGTAAGAGAAAGCATATTTTCCGTTTGTGTGGTATAAACCTCTCCTAATGTAAATTAGATCTAGCTTGTTGGTATTTTTCAAGTCTTTTTGTTATTTTTGGTCTACTTGATTCATCATATTTCTAAAGAATTGTGGTAATAATTTTTTACTAATAATTTGTAGTTCTATGTGCCTTTTGTTTTGTTTAGTTTTGTTTAGTTTTGTTTGCTTGGATTGGGGGGAAAGGCATGCATAAATCTAATGATTAATGCATTTATATTTTTTAAAATTTATTGGATGCTATTATTATAGGATCTCTCTTTTCAGTGTAAAGCAATTTCAACCTTGAATTTCATTTTGATATTTATATTGCTATCCCAGCTTTCACTTTCATTTGGATGATTTATCTTTGCCCAGGGCTTTATTTTGTATTTCTATTGCTCTCACTGTTTAGATCTACTGCTTGCAATAGATACAATTTGGTTTTTTCAAATCTAACCTATAATCTAGTCTTTGTCAATAGATAATTTTGCCTTTTCAGGTTAGTGTAATAATGATTTACCCAATTTTATGCCTTCCATTTTAATGTTTACTATTTATTTTAACTCACTGTTTTCTGCTTTTCTTTTCCTTTTTCATTGGATTGATGAAATTTTTGTTCATTGTTTCCATTCTACACCCCAGATAACTTCTGTTTTTTTCCTGAAATGTTTTGTCATATGATAGTTGTTATTTTTCCCTTTGATTACATTCTTATCATATCATCATTGTCCTTTTTAATAATTATATATCTTGCTAAAGTTATTGCTGAAAGATATATTTCTGTTTGCTATTTCTCACCTGATTTATTTTACATTTATTTGGAATACTTTTGTGGGTTTTTTTCCCTCAGATAATGATAAGCGATACTTTGTAAGTGCTTTCATTTTTGAAAATGTCTTTAGCCCTAACAGAGAAGTGGTCCTTTAGATGCTACTTCTGATGTCACTTGGCTTTCATTACTGCAGATGAGGCATCTTGATTTTTTTAATTCTCTGTAAATCTGTTCATTCACTTGCACTTTAGATGTGCACTTTGGATGTGTTTTAGATTTTAAAATTTATTTTTAAAATTCAGGAATACTCATAGATTTGTTCACTGACTGAGTTCCCAATTGTTTGTGTGTGTATGTAAATTTGTTAGGAAAACTAATGGTGAAGGTCTACTGTGTGTGGATAGTGAGAGGAGTCCTTGGGTGATTTTTCACGGCCCATTGAAGGTGCAGGCCTGTCTGGAACTGGAGTCTTGGGATTATGTATGTGATGTATGGTGAATAGTCTGGACAAAGAATGTGACCTGCCATTTCAGTAAACAAAAGAGGTTGTGACCATGAAGCCATCAGCCACTGCTGCTACCCCCAGTTGTTCACCTTTAGGGGAATTCATAATGGAGAAAAATAAGGTATTGGTCCCAGATCATTACAGTGCTTGTCAAAGGAATGATTTTCTAATGAATGCAGACTCTTACATTGTCCCATATATAGAAAAATGCTAAATTCATTAGCTTGAGATCCCTGGATTTTCTTTAATTGACAGACAGTAATCTTTTTATATTCCAGATACTTGGTTTTTGTTTTGTTGCAAAAGCTCCCGTTTACTCTGGCTCCTCCTTTATCTCTTCAGAACAGTCCCTTTGAGCTGTCTGAGGGGCTGTATCCTGGACTTAAGTCCTCAGTAAGTCTACTGAATAAAAATAATCCTCACCTTCTAGGGTGAGAATTTTTTTTCAGTCCACAGTAGTAATAAAGGTATGGATGCCAGTTATTGGTGCATGTGGGATTGTGATATAATAAGAAATATGTATTTTGGTTTTCATCCACAGTTCCCAGCACAAAGCTTCTAACACCTTTCTAATTTCCTAAGTGATAAGAGTTATAGGGGCCTCTTTTATTTCTGTCTCTTGCCATAGCACCAGAGGGATAAAGGTGAAATTAGTGGGGTTTTTGTTGTTGTTGTTATAAATAATAAGTTCCTTTGAAACACCCCTCTGTTTATTTTAATGAAGTGATGTTTGGAAAGCCCCTAGTGAATCACTCAATGGGGGCTGTTTGCCAGGGGAACCAAGCAAGTTCTTAAAGTTTTAGAGCTTGAAGTTGAGTAGGAAGTTGAATCACCAATGGCTAGTTATTTAATCAGTTATCTGTACATAGTTAAGCCTTCATAAAAACTCAAAAGAATGGAGTTTGGAGAGTTTCTAGACTGAACATGTGGAGAATCTGGGAGAGCAATGAACTCCTTCTGATATGTCTTGCATATCCATCTCTTCTACATGGCTGTTTCTGAATTATATTCTCTTATAATAAATTGGTAACCTAATAAATAAAATATTTTCTTGAGTTCTATGAGCTACTGTAGAAAATTAGTGTAATATGAGGGAACCTCCTGGGAACCTCTAATTGTAGCCAGTTTGTCAGAAACACAAGTAAGAGCCTGAACTTGTGGTTGGCATCTGAAATTGGGGTGGGGACAGGCTTATAGGACTGAGTCCCTAAGCTGTGTGAATAATGCTAACACTCTAAGTAGATGGTATGAGAATAGAAGAAAAACACACAGGAGGAGTTTTTCCTTTTCAGCGCATGGGATTGATTGATATAGAGTCAGGACCATCAGTTCAGTTCAGTTCAGTTCAGTTCAGTCACTCAGTTGTGTCTGACTCTTTGCGACCCCATGAATCACAGCACGCCAGGCCTCCCAGTCCATCACCAACTCCCAGAGTTTACTCAAACCCATGTCCATCGAGTTGGTGATGCCATCCAACCATCTCATTCTCTGTCGTCCCCATCTCCTCCTGCCCCCAGTCCCTCCCAGCATCAGGGTTGCATGAGGTGGCCAATGTATTGGAGTTTCAGCTTCAGCATCAGTC